TGTGGGTCTCTTCCTCTTTCTGTCTCCAGACCCTTGCTCATAAATATTCATCGAACAAACAGGTAGATGAATGAGTGAAGGTATGGCTGTGGATAGAATGTTGGTGTCTCCCAAATTCATATGGTGCAACCTTATCCTGAATGTGATGGCATCTGGAGGTGGGGTCTTTGGGAGGTGGTCAGGATTAGATGAGGTCGCGAAGGTGAGGCCCCCATGATGGGATTGGTGCCCTGGGAGGAGGAGTCAGGATCTCTGTGCACTCACCGGGGAAGGCCCTGTGAGCATATAACCAGGGAGAGGCCACCTGATCACACACTTGAGCCTCCAGCACTGTGAGCATCAGTATCTGCTGCTGAAGCCCCGAGCCTGTGCGTCCTATTAGGGCAGCCTGAGCCATCTGAGACCGGACCTCAGACCTGAAGTGAAATGGATGACTTTGGTCTTTGATGGCTTTGGTCTCCCACTTCAGAACATTCCTGAGCCTGCTCTGGCTCTGGAAAATGGTGGACAAGGATGGGTGACATCCTGTCCTTGCATGTCATCACGTTGCAGGTGGACACACATCTCGCAGCAGCTGGGGCCGCCTCTGGCTTGAACCATGCATATTTGGAGGCAGCAAAGGAAGGGGAGTCTCCCTGTTCTCCCTCCTCACCTACAGCAGCCACTGCAGGAGCCTCCCCTGGGCCCTCTACCCAGAGCAGTGGTCAGGAAAGAAGGAGGGAGCCCCATACACCCCCTTGTGGTGGCCTTTGGAGGGATACTGGGGTCCGGAAGTGAACTTCTCCTCTGGCAATTGCCACATATCAGCAGAAGAGTTATAAGCAGCCGGACCTCAAGTCAGTTGGGCTGAAGCAAAAAGGAGAACTTACTGGCTCATGGAGCTAAATGGCCTTAGTTATCTATTGCTGTGCCATGAACACCCCCAAACTCAGCAACTCAAAACGCCACCCATGGTCCTCTGTCACAGATCTGTGGGCTGGCTGGGCTCGGCCGGGCACTCTCAGCTGGGGCTCTCCCACAGCTGCAGTCAGATGGGGCCAGGACGGGCCATTTGAAGGCTTCCCCAAATGGCTTTCTTCACCCACATTCCGGCACCTCTGTGTTTGGCTGTGTGGCTTCCTTCTCCATCCCTTCTTCCGTGTTGGTTTAGAATTCCAAGAGGCAGAAAGCAGATGCAGCTAAACAACTAATAATTCGCCTGGGACTTGGCTGGTGTCACTACTGTGTCTCCTCTTGGTCAAGTCAGGCAGAGGGCAGGTGAAGAAACTGGCTCTGAGTCTTGCTGGGGGGTGGCCAGGCCACTTGGCATGAAGGCAGATAGGATGGTTGATAATATGGTTGTCTTTGAAAAATACAGTCGGCCACAAGCTGGGTCCAGGTGCTCGAATAGTGTCATCAGAAATATGTATCATTCTGCTGCTCTGACTTTATTCTCAAGAAGACTTTCCAAGTGTAATAGCAGTATCGGACCAGATGCTGCAGGTTTCCATTCTGTCAGGGGGCCTGTCCATCCCTGAGCCAGTCCCTGTGATTCTGACTGGTACAGGCTGGGTTAGCCTGGGGTGGGTGCTCAGCCCCACCAAAACCAGAGCAAACACAGTGGAGGGTTGGCTCTCCCAAGGGACATGAGGTGCTGTTACTGGGTGAGGGTGAGGTGGGTGGGTGCCAGGCCAGTCACCACACCAGCAGGCAGCCTCGCCCTCTCCAACTGCTGCTGCTTGGTCTGTTCTGAGTCACTAGTGTGCAGGACACAGTGCCAGGTCTGTGGGCCTGAGTTGTTCCTCTGCCTACTCGGATTCCCTGCCCACCCTTGACTGCCGCCCTCCCACCTGCCGCAGAGACACGGGGCAGTGCCTTTCACAAGACTTCATTACTTGGCCCAACTCTTTATTGCACATTTTTTTTTTGCTTTCTGAAATTTCTGTGACTCTTTTGTGCCTGATGCACATGAGATGAGCCCCCTCCCACACACTGCCTCCCAGGGAAGCGTATCCCGGCACCATGATTACAAGTGCACGCTGGGAGCCAGGCTGCCGGATCAAATCCTGATGGTTGCTCAGGCCAGGTGGCCTTGAGCATGTTTTCACCTGTGTTTCTTTCTCACCTGTAACACCGGACAAAAATAACACCTGCTTCACAGGGTTGTTGGGAAGATTGAAGGAGTTAATAGTGTACAAGTCTTAGGACGGTCCACCTTGCTCACAGTAAGCTCTCACTGAATGCTAGTGATCATATTTTCTTTGTAAAACATTCTTTATGTAGCAAGGACATTAATTTATTGACTGTTAAGTGTATTACAAATCTTTTTTCCTGGATTTGCCGTTTGTCTTCTGACTTGTTATGGTAGATTTTTTTGTCTCGCAGAATTTTACATTCATGCACTCAAATTTACCCATCTTTTCTAATGTTATCTGGATATTAGTCTTTTCTATTTTTTTTTTTTTGGTCTTGTTGAGAAAGACCTTTCCTCACACTTATTTTGGATGTATTAGGATTTAAAGGTCATTAGAAGAAAAAATTACTGAGTCAATTTGTCAATAGGGTGCTTATTTCTTTTTCTTTTATATTTTTTTCTTCTTTGTATTATGATCCTAAGCACATGAAGCAAATTCCCTCAAAATGTGAATATTAAAAACTCATTAATAATCTTATTAAACTCTATGTAAATTGGTATTTAAATATAAGCTGTTCCCCAGATAGAAATGACTGTTGTGCAGGCTGACCTAAAAAGGAGAAGCTCAGCTAATAGGGACCGTTGTTTGCCTTCAGTCCAGTCTTACCAAACACTAAAGTGAACGTCTTATTTTTATTTCTCCTCCTGGACAGAAAGACATTTGGCTAAGACAGGATTGAAAGAAAGGAATTTTTAAATTCAGCAAAGTGTCTGGAAAAAATAGACTTCCACTGGGAAATCGTTTCATAACCAACATTTCACAATGCTCTGTGCTGGTTTCCCTGTGAAACTGGTTGTTTCTGAGAACAGAGAGGCACTGGAGGAAGACTCCGGGGAGGCGATTCTGGACTGTGCTCCACCACGGTGCAAGGCAGAGTGGGAGGCCTGGTCCCACCGAGTCCCCTCCACTGGCCGCCTTGCAGGTGGCGGGCCTCGGAGGGGGCAGTGGGGGAGCGCAGCTGCTTCAGCACCCTTCCCAAGTCCCAGCCTCCTGTGCTGACCTGCATCACAGGGTCACTGAGGATGCTTTTGTCAATAGCACCAAGAACACACCCCTTACACTGTGGAGCTCCTCAGAGGTCTAAAAGGTACAGGTGACTTCCATTTTTTGAGGTTCCTCTTATATTAAAAAAAAAATGGAGAAATTCCAAACCAGGGCTGTAAAATTATGCTAAGTTTTCTGAACTTATGTTAATAATATTAGGCCTTTGAACCAACAAAAGTATAATGCAGTATAATTGTCAAAATTGCCACAAGACTCTTGAACAGCTTGTAACAAGTATGTCAATTCATAAAGCATGCAGGAAGGATGGTTGGTAATGGGACACAAGTTTATACTTGATGGCAAAACAGCTTTTATCAATTCAGTGACTTTCTAAGACTGCATCCATACTCTCATTTGAGGATAAGGACTGAAGTCCAACTTTGGTGCCCTTTGTATAAATAAGGCCCAAGCAAATGGCCCTCCATCCACTTCCTCCCACTCCATCGCCGGGCTGTTTTGATGAGCTCCAGGCACCGTCCTTGCCCGCGCTGAAGTCCTCTCAACTGCAGACCCCTGGCCAGAGGGATGAGGCAGCCAGATTTATTTCCAGCTTTCACACACCGAGTCCAGGCAGGTTGCTAGCTTAGCACATGCACATATGCATGTGCATGCGTGCGCGCGCGCACACACACAGTTTACTTACATGTAAAGAAAGATAAATGTGTCTGAAGTCAGAGAAGCAGAATAGAGGCAAACAGAGCCCCAAAAGGTGATAGTGGGCAGCCTCTCGCCCAGCCAAGCCTCCAGCCAGGGCTGACGGCAGTTGTGCCCCCAGGTCCCAGCTCCCAGGTGACTGTGGGACAGGGCTTTCACCACCAGGAGCTGAACTTGCTGTCCAGTCAACACATCAGCCAGAATACCGGTGCCTCCACGGCCCTCTCTCAGCAAAGATGTCTAGTCCACATGGAACCACCCTTCATCCTGGTCCTGGGTGCAGGGCTTGGTAAGAATCTGTAGCCTGAGTGTCTTGAGACAAATGTCAGCTGCAGGGCCTCTGTGGCTGCACCATTTCCATGTTGGAAACAAACGAGGCATAGACGTCAAAGACTTCAGACTAGAAATCTCCTACTAGGTATTTGATATGAGATTTGCAAAAAGGGTTAGCTTCCAGTAATGTTTGGAAATTAAAAAACTGAAGGAGGAAAAAAGACCGGCAACAGGGGCTATTGTTCAAGAAAAATTACAGTACCTGTTTGGAATATAAAGCTGTGCAGATGTGAAAATGACAATGTGAGGTGTATTTATGGACACCGGAGGAAGTTCACAGTGTGGTTATACTTTTTAAAATGTGATTTATAAACCAGTATGCATGAGCAGGCTCCCTTCTTTGTAAAGTGTACTTATAGAAGGGGTTTTGGAAGGACTGTAGTAGAGACGCCTCTGGATGCATAGGATGAGTGGAAATGGGATGGGGTAAGTTATCCACCTTTGTGGGCTCGGGGGTCAGACTTCCTGAGTCTGAATCTAATCTGAATGTCACAAGCTAGTGGCCTCTGGCAGACTTCCTCTGGCACTTCATCTGCATGATGGAGATGACAGCAGGGTTTTGGTAATATTTAAGGACATAATTCATTTAAAACTCCTGGAAGAGTGCCTGCTTAGTGCTTAATAAATATTGCCTATAATTATTATCTGTACTTTCTGAATTGAATGTACAGTCTCTAAAATGATGGCAAAATAGATTTTTAATGGAAAATAAAGAGCTGGGGAAGGGCAGGCTGCTGAGAGGGCAGGCCCCTCTGTCTTCCATCAGCAGTGACCCAGGGCTTCTCCTTTCCCCAGGTGTCACCTTCTCTTTCTTCTGGAAGACACAAGAACAGTCCAGACCAAGCCCCTCTGCTTATGGGGGGCAGGTCATTTCCAGCGGGTTCAAAGTCTGCTCCAGCGGCGGCAAGGGCTTGGTAGAGCTGTACATGCGCGAGAATTCCATGACCTGGGAGGCCAGCTTCAACCCCCCAGGTAAGGCTGCCTGTGGCCCCAGCGGCCCGCTGTGGGGGTGCTGGGGGCCAGTGAGCCTACTCGGCCAGGTGGGGCCCAGAGAGTGTGCCAAGGGCCAGTGGCTCTGTCTGACCACCCCTGCTCCCTCTGCAGTGGGGCCAGAGGCGCGGAGCAGGAGGCAAGGAGGCCGCGGGCTGTAAGTGGGGAGTTGAACGGGGCCTTAGTGTTGTGGGTGGTGTTGCTGGGGTCGTGGTCAAGGCTGGAGAATATAAAGGGAATCACAGAGGTGAGGGGGGGTCCAAATGAGGCCTGGAATGGCCCCCTCCTGTAGGAAATGACATCTTTGAGATATTTAAGGAAGTTTCATTTTCTGGCCCATTTAAAGGAGTCCATGTGTCTCAGCTGTTAGAAAACATGTACTCTGGGGCCAAATAGCCTGCATCAAACCCCTCCCTACACCATGCTAGCTGTGAAACTGGGGGCTTTCTTACCTGCCTGGTGCCTCAGTTTCCCCATTCATAATATGAGCCCGACCACAGTGCTATGTCACATGGTGAGAACTGTGGTGTAAACATATACAGGGCCCAGAATGGCACACAGTGAACACTGAGCACCTTTGCCTTGTTCTCTAGGTGTTCTGTGTGCTCAGACCAAGCTCACACCTCTACTTCCTTAAAAGCGGAAAATTGAGAACGTAGAGTTTGAGAGTATCTTGCACACTTACCCTGTCTGATCTCCAAGGCCAGAAGTCGTCTCCCCTCCCCGCCCCAGAACTGCCTGTACCATGTCCGTGGCTCTTACCCTGTCCTGCCTCTGTTGGGCTCGCGGGTAACAGTCTCTTCCCCTGCTTCTTTGGGATGGCGCAGCACTAGGCATCTAGCAGGGCTCTGGAACACATTTTAAGGTAAAGTCTGCTGAATTCTGGCTCTTCCTCCGCCCCACAGGAAAGCAGGGAGAATTATAAACATTTCTCCCTGGCAATACACTCTTTATTTGCTTGCCAAGGGCATTTGTTATTCCTGCTCCAAACTCAAGGGCAATAATACTTTGGGCCTATGTAGGATTCAAGAACTTTTCAGAGACTCAGATTAGAAAGCTGCACAGTCCTGAGCAAGAAGCCCTGATGTGATGGCTGGGTGCCTTAAGGTGACACCTGGCTCAAGGTGATGTGTGTCCTGTGGAGGACTTCCCTGCCCCTCCCCAGCAAGTCCAGGGGATGTCTTAGCACAGCACTCGCAAAACGAGGGGCCCTTCGTGGGGTAAGCTGTTGGCAAAGCTGATGAACACCAAAGACGCTGCCTTGTTGGTGAGCGTGGTTCTCATGCTAAAGAACAACCACAGTGCGCGGCTATCAAGGGGCCTGAACGAGTGGCCCACCTATCAGGCGCTGCCACGTTGGTTAATGCCCCTCATCCTTGGCAGCACAGAGGCTGATGCCAAGGCAGTGGTCTGAACCAGGCTCTCAGGCAGGCCTACTGACCTGTGCTGTGATGGCTAGGCAGGGTTTAAAAAATATTTTTGAACAAGTTATGATCATTAATTAATATTTAATTTTCACTTAAAATAGCAAGTTTTCTCTGAACTGCTTTTGGAAATTGGGGGAATAGAGCTTACTTTCCAAAAGCCTGAGGAGAGTCAGGCCTATATTGTGACCTACACTAGGACACACCACTAAGAGCGCCACGGTCCTAGAACAGGGATGTGCTCAGCAACCAGAAGCAACTGCTGGGGGAGTCAAACGACCCCTGCCCCCCGCCCATCAGGACGGACACCTTTGCTCTTTCCCAGGTCCCTACTGGACGCACGTCCTGTTTACGTGGAAATCCAAGGAGGGCCTGAAAGTCTATGTCAACGGGACCCTGAGCACCTCGGATCCAAGTGGAAAGGTGGCCCATGCCTATGGGGAGCCCGGCGGCAGCCTCGTGATGGGGCCCGAGCAGGAGCAGGCCCAGCGGCACGAGAGCAGGGCTTTTGACGAGTTCATTGTCTGGGAACGAGCCCTGACTCCAGATGAGATTGCCATGTACTTCACAGCCGCCGTCGGTCAGTGATGGGGAGGGTGGGGGCAGTCGGTCAGTGATGGGGAGGGTGGGGGCAGGTCTGTGCCTGTCCCTGGGGACACCGTCTCTGCTCCCCACTCCTGACACAGCACCAGCTCCACAGCTGAGGTGTCTGTCCTACAGGGTCTCATGAACACACTCATTTTTCTAGAACCCCTGTTCCCGGGGTGGAGAGGTTGACCACTTAGCAGAGACAGAACAAGATGAGTGTTCTCCCGCTGAGTATGGGCCTCCGAGGTGCATGTGACGGCTGTAGACAGCTCTGGGAGCAACCGTTCCAGATCCATTAGTGCATTTGATGAGCAAGTGTTCACTGTGAGCCTCCTGCATGCAGACTCCCTACTGGGTCCTGGTGAGGCCCAGGGTGCCCCTCCCGCTCAGCACAGAGTGGCTGTTCCAGGCAGGGGCCTGCGGGACATGTGCGTCTGGGTTCCAGGCCTCTTCCTGCCAGGAGGAGCCGTGGGGCTTGGGATGTCACTTTTTCTTTATTGAGGCAAATTCCTGAAATATAACTAAACCATTTAAAAGTGTATACAATTTGGGGGTACCTACTACATTCACAATGTGGTGCAAGCATCACCTCTAGTTTCAAAACATTCTCATGACCCTCTGCAGTCACTCCATCGCCCCGTACCCCACCCCTGCGGCCACTACTCTGCTTCTGCCTCTATGGATTTACCTGTTCTGGACATTCCACACAGGTGGAATTGTGTAGAATATGACTTCTGTGTCTTCATCTCTCCCAATCCGTTTTCTCCTTTGTAAAATGGATGAAAACAATACCACCCCTGTCCCGGAAGGTGGGTAGGAAGGTAAAATATGACACAGATGTGAGGCTTCAGTAGGGTGCCTGCATATGGCAATTTTTCAGTACATTTTGGCTGCTTTTAGATTGATATTTACTTTTCCCCTACAATTCCATTTTCATTCTGCCCACAAGTAAATACAGTTTATTTTTACATAAAATCATCTGCCAAAAAATGGCTCACCTCATAGCCATTTCTCGGATGGCTGCTGCACTGCCCCAGAGAGGCAGCGCGTTTGGCACCAGGCAGTGAAGGCCTGGGTCCTGGCTGAGGTGTGGACTCTGAGTCCCTCAGTTGTTAGGGTCCTTCTGATTGTGTGACAGAAAGCACAACTAAAGTGACTTAAGCCACAAAGGAGATTTTTAAAATCTCACACAACGGAAACTATAGGGAGAAGTTTGTTTCAGATCTGGTTTGACCCAGGTGCTCAATGTCATCTCAAGGAATCTGTTTTTGACTCTGCTTTCCTGGGCATTAGCCCTTTTGTGGTGCCAGGATGGCCACCATTTCCTCCAGGGCTGCATCCTCATTCTCCCGCATCCTCAGCAGAAAGCAAGGAGCTCTCTTTCTGTTGTCTCTGAAAGCAAGGCTGGCCATGACTCGGTTCATATATTTCCCACAAGCCAATCACAGTGGCTGGTGGCATAGAATATGCTGACTGCCCTAAGCCTGGGTCACAGTCTGCTTCTGACACAGCAGTGGGGTCAGTCTCATCCAAAACACACAGGCGAGAAGACCTGCCCCCCAAAAGAGGATCAGGGCTGGTGGTCTCAGAAGCAGGGGAACAGCCTCTGTGGATGTAAAATGAGTCTGTGACCATCACAGCCTTTGACATTTCCATCTTTCTCTGAGAAAATGGAATTCATTCCCTTTTTACAGAGGTGACATAGGAGAAAATATAGAGTCCTTCAGAAGAGAAAAGGCTATCAATCTCCTGGGTTTCATTGGCTGGGATTCAGAGATTTGTCACTAGGGGACTGAGATGTCCTATGTATTTGTTATTGAATGCCTCAAACAAGTGCTACTGTCCTGACAGTTTGCTCTTTTTCTAATACTGGAAGGAGGTGTTGGTGTTGCTGGTTCTTGCAGCTATCCCAGCAAGCCCTTGTCATCAGGACATCTCTGGGCCCAGGGATGTGGCACATCAGCCCCCTAAGCAGTGCAGCGTCTCGGGAAGGCTCTGCTACGGAGTCATGGGGGTGCACCTCCCGCCTCCCTCCACCAGTGCCAGGGTGACGTCTGATTCTTTGTGGGATTCGGGAGAGGTGTTCTTTGTCCTTCACTTGATTCTGTGGGCTCACATGAGCTAAGTGTGAATTCCATGTGACTCCTCTAACTTCCTGGCACTGGGAGAAGGAACGTCGCTGTGATGGGGAGCCCAGTGCATTCTGGGGACTCCAGCTCTCCCTGCAGCAACCCCAGCTAAGAAGCAACTTACTCCTGGGGATAACTATGGCTGACGAGTTCACTTCCTCAGGTCACCCAGAGCACCTGGGGAATTTTCCAGAAATGAGGTAGAGTGTCCACTTAAGTCTGTGTTCCCACCAGGAAATACCATGATTACACATAGCTGGTGGCAGACATTCTAGACCTTCAATGGAGGCTCTATTTAATTCATAACTTAATTAAATAGAGTCTGGGGCACAGGAGGACAGCCCCCTTTTGTGGGGTCTTGCTTCACGTGTCTGGGAGGGAAGGTTAGAAGAGAATTGTTGGGGTGAGCCAGTGATTAACAGCACTTCCTCTAACTAGTCCAGATGCTGTTGATGTCTCTTGCTTTTGGTTCTTTATTTGAACTTGGTAAAAGCTTGTAAAAAATCATGACTTGCATGAAGTATTTCAAAAGCAATTTAGAATATAAATAGAAAAATGATTCAACCTGGGAAAATCCATACCACCCACCCTTTAAGCTGACTCACTAGCTTTTATCTTTCCAGCACCGTTCCTACTCAAAGCATCCTCAGGCTGAGCTGGTAGATTTTTGAATAAGCCTTCCTTGGGGTACATGAGATGACCATGTTTTCATCCTTCATTAAGCACAATCAATGTTTTCCAGGAAAGCATGTTTTCTTATCTTCAACACCACCAAGCTTCTTCATGACACTCCCAGCAAATGCCATGGTGAGCACATGCATTTATCTTTTGCCCCCTTCTTATTAGTGGCTTTTTGCATGGCCTATATGCTAGTGGAAATGCCATTGGACAGCCTGGCTTTCTCTTACTGGCAGTATAATATTTGGGAAGTAATAGTCAGCAGGGGAGAAGCCAACACTGGTGACAATTCTTGATGCTCAGAGTGACTGAAGGGAAGCCCTTTGTCTCCTGTGGCCTGTAACCCCAGTGCTAAAGGCAGTAAACAAGACCACAGGGTGAGCAGACACAAGGCTGGCTCCTGGGGTGGTTGGCAGTCTGCAAGGGGCTTGCCTTTCGTTCCCATGTCTGCCATGAAGAAACATTCACATGGAAATGGAAGTGCCCCCCTCGAGAACTAGTATTTGTAGTCATGCAGCTCTCCGAATGTAGCAGAGGGTGCACAGACTCCTGGACCACCTGCTTGGGTTCCAATCCCAGTCTAGCATGTCTCTCTGGGCAAGCCTCTCTGTGCTTAGTTTCACCCACCGTGAGACTGCTGTGAGGAAGAAATGTTAATATCTGAGAAACGGTCATGGTGGTGCCTGTGGTGAGTAGGTCCTGGGGTGAGTAGGAACACCTACTATTGTGGTGTGAGCAGCAACACCGAACTCTGACAGAGCTGCTTGGCTTTAGTCCCTAGCAGGGACTCATGCTGGCGACTTTGCTCATTTCTTCTAGATGCCCACCAACGCCTACCATCCCATCATAGCCAACCTAACAGAGGAGAGGAAAAACTTCCAGAGTCCTGACATTGCACTGAATTACCTTCAAAATGTGTCCCTCAGCTTACCCAACAAACACCTCTCCGAGGAAACAGCGCTGAATCTCACCGAGGTAAAACTATTTGAGTTCTGTGCTGGGGGCATCAGGGATGGCAAACTGCCAGATGTGCCATGGTCCACAAATGCGTTTTGTTTGCCCTGCAGACAGTTACAGAAAAATCAGGAACTTTTACATAAAAGTCTGGATTTCAGACTTGTCATGAACAATTAGATGGGGGAGGGGTGGTCACCCCAGCCCCCTCTCAACACACAGCTCAGTGGGGCCTCCTTCAGGTGAGACCCCACTAACTTCACTTGCATTTTCTCACTGCCCAGCCAGCCCCCATCCTGCATCTCCCTGGCCCTGTAGGCACTTGGGTTTGCAACTCCTGCTCCAAACTCTGCTGCCTCCACTGGCAACAGGGAGAAGGTGGGGTTGGGTCTTTGGCAGATTTAGCTATGGGACCTTAGACCACAGTCGGCACGGTGTGACCCTAGTGCTGTGATGTAGCTCAGTGGGAATTCCCAGTTACCTGGAGCACCTAGTGAACACGCTGGTTATAACACTGGAATCAAGGTGCTTTCTCTTTCCAGGTTAGGGTAAAGGTAGTTCCTGGGCTTCTGTGGACCTGGTAACTTCTGTCTCTGCACCAGGGCCCAGCTGGTGGGGAGAGAAGGGATGTTCAAGGCCATTTCACCTTGAAAGTCCAGCCTGCGGGTAAAGAGCAGGGTGTGTGAGCCTGGCTGCAGGTTGGGTTCCCCCCTGCTGGTTCCTGAGCGTGAGCCCTCAGTCGTCTCTCTGCCTCTCCTGGCTGGTCTGAGATGGGGCACCGAGGGCAGCAGCGCTCCCCTCATCGGGGACTAAGTGGGTTTCTCCCTACATAAAACAGTGTCAGCACTTGGTGAGTGCCATTTAAGAGTTCTTAAATATTACCAGGCTCCTTATGAAGACCCAGAGAAGCAGTTGAAGGCACATGCTCAGGAACCAAGAGGTGAAGTGGAGGGAGGCTCTCAGTCATCTTGCCCAGGGCAGAGGGCAGGTGCTGCCCTCGGAGATCTTTCCACTCCTTCCCAGGGCACTCTAGGTTCTGGGGACCGAGGACGACCCGAACCACTTTTCGTGTCCCAGAAGCTCAGGAGGGAGGAAGGATGCAGTCTGAAGAGTGCCCCAAGATGCGGCCCTGGGCAAGAGACTCAGGTTCTGGAGCTGATGACCAGGTTTGGCCGCAGCTTCATGTTCCCAGGCCAGGCATGCTCTCAAGCCTCAGCTTCTCCACCCACAATGTGGGGATAATCCCAGCTCCTGAGTCTCTCCATCAGTGTGGCTTCGGCTGCAAGTAGCTGGTAATATCACTAAGTGCCTGTAAAACGATCAGAGCTATGGGCAGCTTCTCTCCTGGGCTGAGCGCCTGGTCTTCGTGTTGGTAGCAGCCGCTGGGGGCAGCGCTACTGTCCTCTAGTGATCCGCCCTGTTCCAAGTAGGAAAGGAAAACAGCTCTCCCACCCTCCTCACTCACAGGGAAAACACACAGTTCCCAGTGCAGTATCCCCTCATAACTTATTGGGTGGGCCTGGATCACATGACCACTCTTAAACCAGTTACTGGCCAAGGGGAGCAGAAGTGACAATGGCTCAACCAATCACAAGGAGGTATGGGCAGGGTGAGGCTGCTGTGCCTGAACACTTCCAGTCTGCGCACAGGAAGTACTTCCGGCCTTCCCACGTGAGCGGGAGAGTAGTAGTGTGAGGTACCCAGAGGGGGAGGCTGCCCAGTTGGGTGAATGAGAGGCTGGGGCCTCTCTGTAGGCTTGAGGGGGTATCTCAATCAGAACTTGGAATCTGATTCAGGTCTACATAGGACATCCTTTTAGGCTTGGCAATTTCAGTTTCCTCTTTCCTTGTGACTCCATTTCTCCCCTCAGCTAGACCGGACAGTGCCAGAGATGGCAAATTCCAATGCATTCAGGGGTCCAGACATGTAGTAGGGAGAAGGGTAGACTGTGACAAACTGGAGGGCACCTAGCTTATCTGAAGGGAGTAGCAGCGAGCTGCCCAAAGCCTCCTGATGTCAATCTTTGGGGTCACCTCTTCTGATTTTGCAAGGGAAGCCCCATACTTGGATTTTTTAAAAATGGAAAATACTATTTCAAAAAGTGGACAACCAACTGAAATCTCAAAGCAGTTATATGCAGATCAACAACAAGACATTTACGAGGCAGATTCAGCCTGTGGCCATCAGTTTGAGACCTCTGGTGGGCCCATGTGGAGATACCTGACTCTGGGTATCCTGAGATGAAACATGCAGATTTACCCAAAACCCACTGATCTCTGATTGGATGAGAAATAAAAATCCTTGGTATCCTTCATCCAGTTTTCCACAGTGTCCTGGCTTCTCACCACTAGCAGTTAGACCAGAAAAAGACAAGAAGTCATTTCCTATGCTGAGTGATAAGGTGGCTAGCAGCCAGGTATGACTCGAGCACTTGAACTGTGGCTAGTTCAAACCAAGATGTGCTTTAAATATAAATGCACACTGGATGTCTAAAACTTAGTGTAAAGAAAAAGAATGTAAAATATCAAATTGATAATTTTTATATTGATTATATGTATGTTATTTTAGATATATTGGGCTAAGTAAAATATATTACTGAAATTAATTTCGCCTGTTTTCTTTTTACTTTTTAAAATATGGCTGCAAGAAAATTTAAAATTAGAAATGTGATTTGCATTATTTACTATTCAGTTGAACTGCTCTAGACAAGAGTCAGCAAACTATAGCTCTTGCACCAAATCTGGCCTGTTGCCTGTTATTGTGATAAAGTTTTATTGGAACACACCCATTCAGGAATGCATCATCTGTGGCTGCTTTTCACTGCAGCGGCAGAGTTGAGTATTCATAATAGAACTATAGGACGGTTACATTTTTTACATGGCCCAAGTTATTATTTTTTTAAGTAGTTTTATGTAACTTAGTTTCACAACTAGGTTACTAAAAAAAGTTTCATTTTTTTAGAACAGTAGTGAGCCAAACCAAACATGGTTTTAAGGTGATTTGACCAAGGGACCTCAAGTGACTTCTGCTTTAAAAAGGGGTACTTTCCAGTTAGCAGCGGCAGAACTGAAGGGCAGAACTGTGTAAAACCTAAATGCGTTACCAGATGATCCTTTAACAAAAAATGCTGACATGGAGAATGCAGTTAATGATTCTGTAACATCTTACTATGTTGATGGATGGTGACCACAGTGGATAGGGTGAGGGCTTAATAATATGGGTAAATATTGTTGTGTATTTGAAACCAACATAAGATTGTATATCAATGATACTTTAATAAAAAAAATGCTGACCCGTGCTCTGGATTATAAACTTTGCACACTAGATGTCAAGCCCAGCAAGGGCAGGGAGAGTAATTATTGTGTTTCTCCTTAATTTCAAAGGGTCTTGCGCTTTAGGGTCTTAATAAGTATTTGTCAAACAAAGATAAATAAAAAGGACTTTTGATGATGTATTCTTTAAATACGTAAATGTATAAAAGTGTGAGGAATAATGTAATTTTTCTGGAGATAGCAGTTTGGTGGAAATAAGGAAGATTTAGGTCAGGCTGTGATTTTAATTCTGGCTTCTATAGCAGGAAGCAAACATTTAAAAGGTTATCTGAGTAACGTCAATGAGTGGAACAAACTAGGCATAAGGCAATAGGGAGTGGTGAGGACTGGGATGAACTGGGGCCACATACCTGCCTGAGGAGCAGCTGCTGTTCAGCTTTGCTCAATGGTGGCTATATTAGACTGGACCAGGGGTTGTCTAGGCTTCTGCTCTTTTCAAAAGAAGCAGGAAATTCACATATTTTCATTTAAATCTCTCAATTTGAAAATGTTAGAAACTAATTTCATTTTTTAAAAAAATAATAAACCAAACCAAACATGGTTTTAAGGTGATTTGACAAAAGGACCCCAACTGACTTCTGCTTTATAGAAGCAGTAACATAAATACTTTCCAGTGAGCAGAAATGGCTTTATGTCAGTCAGCTTGGCTTCTCATCCCAAGAAAAGTATGTTCAGCAAGCTATGATTCATTCATTTGTTCCTTCTTTCATTCATTCAAGAGTCATTGGCTGAGGGCCGATTATATCTCCCTAGGTACTATACCTAGAGCTTCTGCCAAAACTAAGCTGTGTTCATTCTGACATCTAAATGTTTGTCATTGAGTAAGGGGTTATGGCAGGGAGCAAATGAGATAACATCTCTACAAAGGCTTGTAAGTGATAACCGAATTCACTAACATAAGCTGTTTTTGTTATTACTAAAAGCAAAACCCAGCTAGTGGTCTACAGGGGAGGGGAAAATCGAAAGTTTTAAGATTTGGAGGCTTAAGGATATTTGCTAAATGGTTTCATTTTGTCTGCCTTTAGACTTTCTTAAAAACTGTGGGAAAGGTTCTTCAACTACCCAGTTGGATTCATGTGTCAGAGGTAAGAAAAAAGAACATTTTGATCTTCAAAATATATGTACCTTGGGAACCATTTTGTCTTCCTAGAAGAGACATAAATATGGCCCAGTTCTCATCTGCATAAGACAGATGATGCTTCCCTCAGTCCTGAAATCTGGAATATTAGAGTTCATTTTAACTGGATATACAACTGCTTTGAAATGCCTTGTCTTCTGAATGGCTTAAGAGTTGTGTGTACATCAGTAATGTCTCACTGTTCTCAACACTCAGCAGGGCAACAGTTGTATTTCTTCATGAGGAATGTACCCTTGGTTAACCAATTCAGCATTTAATAGTATATTTTTGGTCACACATTATTTTTGAATGGTATAAAAAAATATTTGGTGCTTGGAGACCATTTGATTAAGTGAAAAAAGTAGAATTTATAAGTGTCAAATACAAAAAGCTTCTCTTTTTCTCTGAACTCCAGGTAATTATAAAAAAGAATGGAATAATTTCACTTTTATTTTTAGGAATAACATCATCGATTTTACTTTCTTAAACAGTAAAACAAGTGAATATGTTGTTGAGAAGTTAGAAAATGCAGGTCATAAAAATATATATGAAATAGAAATCACTTGTACTAAGACTGAGAGGTAACAATTGTGGACACTCTTGTACATATCCTTTACAACCTGGTTGTCAATGCATATATATGCATATATTTCTACGAATACACTGTATATCTAATTTCATCTGTTTTTCCTTAACTATGTCACAAACATGTTAAGTATTCTTCTGCAATGCTGTATTAGGCCAGGCTAGGCTGTGCTGCAGTATCAAATAGAGCCCTACATCTCAGTGGTTTGGCACAGTAGACATTTACTTCTCACTCATGCAAAATCCAATGTGAGTTGGAGGAGCTCTTCTCAATCCCTTGACTTAGGGATCCTGCCTCTGTCTATTTTCTAATGCTGCCATCTCAACATGTGACTTGCAAGGTTGTTCAACAGGGTTGGGAAAGGGTGGGGAGGACTCATAACTGCCTCCTTAGAAGGGCCACACCACACCAGTAATACTGAAGTCTCATTCTCCTGAAGCTCTGTAATGTTTGAAAAATGTTTGCCAGTTTGAGGCAGAAATGACATTTCCTTCTCTTATTATTAATGAGATTGGTCTAGGGTTTACATTTAATGAACTTTTTACTTGAACACTTTCAAACTGAATGAGATTGGGCTTAACATTGACAAAAGAGAAAAAAACAGGTCATGAATTTAAGATTGATATAATCTTACCTAGAAACAAGTTATTGTTTTTTAATTTTATTAAGGTATTATTGATATACACTCTTATGAAGGTTTCATATGAAAAAACAATGGTTATTACATTCACCCATATTATCATGTCACCCCCATGCCCCATTGCAGTCACTACCCATCAGTGTAGTAAGATGCCACAGAATCACTATTTGCCTTCTCTGTACTACACTGTCTTCCCCATGATGCCCCACACACAATGTGTGCCAATCATAATACCCCTCAGTCTCCTTCACCCTCCCTCCATACCTGCCCTCCCACACCCCTCCCCTTTGGTAACTGCTAGTCCCTTCTTGGAGTCTGTGAGTCTGTTGCTGTTTTGTTCCTTCACTTTTGCTTCTTTGTTATACTCCACAAATGAGGGAAATCATTTGGCACTTGACTTTCTCCGCCTGGCATATTTCACTGAGCATAATATCCTCCAGCTTTATCCATGTTGTTGCAAATGGTAGGATTTGTTTCTTTCTTATGGCTGAATACTATCCATTGTGTATATGTACCACATCTTCTTTACCCATTCATCTACTGATGGACACTTAGGTTGCTTCCATATCTTGGCTATTGTAAATAGTGCTGTGATAAACACAGGGGTGCATATATTTTTTTGAACCTGAGAAATTATATTCTTTGGGTAAATTCTTAGGAGTGGGATTCCCGAGTCAAATAGTATTTCTATTTTTAGTTTTTTGAGGAACTTCCATATTGCTTTCCACAATGGTTGAACTAGCTTACATTCCCATGAGCAGTGTAGGAGAGTTCCCCTTTCTCCACATCCTCACCAGCATTTGTTGTTCTTAGTCTTTTCGACGCTGGCCATCCTTAACTGGTGTGAGGTGATATCTCATTGTGGTTTTTATTTGCATTTCCCTGATAATTAGTGATGTAGAGCATCTTTTCATGTGCCTGTTGGCCATCTGAATTAGAAACAAGTTATTTTTAAAAATCTACAACCCTCCAGAAATTGCTTGAGGTCCCTTCATGATTTCCAGGAGGACTTTGTGTCCAGGGCTGCAGCCTAGGAAACACCCAGAGGATGGCCAGTGGGGAACCTGAGCAGATACATATTCTGCATCATTTTAAATTAACTTTTTCCGAATGCTCTGCCACAAAATATGAATAATCATGAAACTATTCATACTTAGGCAGGCTCTAATATACGTTAAAGAAAAGGTATGAATCAGCCACTACCCAACAGAGCTGCATGCCAGAAACAGATTTTCATGTGCTTAACTGTGTTTGGTTGATTGAAATCAGGCCATAGGCCTGAAGGGAAGTGTTTAAAATTGGCCTCTGTGTTCTATTTCCAGCTCGTTAGACTCTTGCAGAGTGTGTGTTTATGAGAGAATGCTGAGGATGCTTAACAGCAGACAGATGCTTTTTCAGAAAGGCGGGAAGGAGAGAAGGGGTGTGATGTCAGAGATGAACAGCCGTGGCTCCCCTGGGGGACTGAGTGTCGGCTGAGGAGGGACAGTCATGCCAGGATGAACTGGCTGCAGGGACACTGGGTGACACGCAGGGAGCCATGCCTTCGTGCCATGCCTCTCTGCCTTGGGGGCACAGGCCCTTGAAGGGGAAGGGACATTCCAGGCAGGCCATGGAGGCCAGAGGTGTTACCGGAAGCTGGCACCTCTGAAGCACCCCACCCCTTTGCAGAGAATAGGATGAAACTGTGGGAGGATGGGGTGGGCAGAGTTGCTGAGCTCAGAGTGGAGCCAGGACTGGGTGTCAGTCACCCATGCCTAAGCACAGAAGCCTTGGAGCAGACGGCCTGGGTGAGCAGGGTCACCTTGGCCCAGGTCCACTTTCTACGAGCTTGGCTGGGTTGAGTAACCTCACTTGGTCGCCTCCATGTCTGTGAAATGGGGTAACAGTGTGGCTGTCTGTCTTGCTCCTCTCATCTAGTCGTTGTGAGGACAGAGGCTGGCCGGCAAGGACACGCGGCAGCCACAGGGTATACTTCCTCTGGAGGAAGGCTGGCAGAGTGATCACAAAGTTTAGTTTTTGTGTTTGAGGCACCTGTCTCATGCGGTCACTTAGCAAGTTCCCTTCTGTTTTCAGGACAACACTGTGGTGCTGGGCTTGATAGACACAGTCGACACTGTCATGGGCCACATCGCTTACAACCTGCACACCAGCGAGCCCCAGGTCACCATCGCGGGCTCTTCTTCCATAGCAGGTAGCTTGGTGGCAACAGGTGGGGAGTGTGGGTAGCCGCTTGGCAGGCAAGGCCAGGTCAGGCGGGGCAGCTTGCTCATGGAAATTTGCGCCGTCTCCACCTGCGTTCTCCCACACATGTGGAACGCAGCGCCTCCCATGCTAGCTCAGCCAGGCCTCTCTACTTTCCTAAACTATGTTGCCTTATGCAAAATTACATTGTGCAGGAAGACAGAGTCATATCAGGGCAGCTGTGTTCAGCCATGATGCGCTCACAGGACCCCGTGAGCATCTGGTGGTGATGGGAGCCAAGCCCATCGCGTGTGTCAGTCACCTCAGTGAGGGGCAGGAGTCAGGAAGCAGAGTTCCCTCGAATGCCTGGGATAAAAAGCACAAAACTGGGTTTCCCAGAGCTGGGTGGGGGCTAGCCCCAAATCTGCTTTCCCAAGATAACTGGCAAACAGTCTCAGGTAAGCTGCCGTCGTGGCGCTCCTGCTTGAGGTCTTTACGGAGTGAGAGTTCTGCTAAGACTCTGCCCAAGAGCCGAACTTGAGAGCGAGCTCAGTTGACCCACATGGGTCAGTTTGGTGGGAGTTTGCCAGCCGAATAGCCACCTCCTGCCACGAACCATTTCCCTGATGTTTCAAAGGTGAATGTCTGCAGTATTTTCATTCTGCTGTGGCACAGGGGACCCCCAGGGCATGGCAAGTAGCCAGCACACGGGTGTCACTGCATAGCTGTGTGCGGGTGGGGGCAGGCACTGAGCGCTGAGGGCTGCCCCCGGGGGCCAGGGGTCACCTGAGGCCTAGAGCCCCCAGTGCAGCCAGGCAGACACGTCAGCCACGTGGTCACAGTTACTTCCCTGGACTCATTTTTTCAGGGCCTCATTTTCTAAAGATAATTCCATTCCCCAGGGTACCTGCTCTGTTAGAAAAAGCAGAGGCAGGTGGGTTTCCAGCCCTGCGTCCTGTGCTGTGCAGTTCACTGACCACCTTCCTCTCTGGTTTTTGCCGTCAGAGTTTTCACTGGCCAGAGTCCTTCCAAAGACCATGAATTCCACCCACTACCGCTTCCCAGCCCAGGGCCAGAGCTACATCGAGATTCCCCACGAGGCTTTCCATAGCCAAGGTGAGTGTGCTGTTGTCTGGGGATACTCCCAGGGAGCTCCCCTCAATGTGTCCCCAGGAGCAGTGTCACCAGAAGCCCCCGAGTGTCCCCTCATAAGGCTGACCATGAGCCCACTCCACCTCACAGCCAAGTTGGGAAGGGGGCTGGGAATCCACATTAGACTAGTGTTCCCTGCGATTCTGGCCCTATGTGAAGGACACTGTGTGTCCCCATGTCCTAGACGTGGCCATCCCTTCCCCCACTCAGGGGGCCTCGGGCTCCATGGGGGGTTTGTCTGCTCAGGGAACCTGGGTTCTGTTCTCCTGGGGGTTGAGGTAGGTCTCGTAATGAACAAGCAGCCAAGGGGAACCAATGACTCCCCCTGACCTGGGAACATTTTGGGGTCCAGGTAGCTCCCACCATTTTTGCTGCAGTGACTATCCCCTCTGGTCCCCAAAAAGTGAATGTGCCTCCCCAGGCATGTTCGTCCCCCCCAGCAGGATGCGCAGTCAGGGAGAGTCTGGTCAGGGCACTGGTGGTCCCTGGAGTTCTGTCTTAGAGACTGGGTACTGAGGCCAGCCTGGGTGGTGAGGGGCTGTGGTGCCCCTGCCCAGCAAGGAGCCCTCTGTGTCTGTGAGGTGGGAGTCTCCTGCTCCTGGGGCCTGTCCCCATGCTCGGGGTGAACCACAGGGACGAGGGTCCAGGGGTGACGCCGCAGTCCACCAGTGGCATGCATGACCTTTCCTCGTCCCACACCACCTGCGCCGCCACTGCTTAGAAGCCCTCAATGTTCCCGAGCCGGCAGGGCCACAGCCTTGCTGTGCGGGGTCTTCCAACTTGGCAGCAGAACCAGCTCTGTGGCCGGAACTTCTGGTTCGGCCACGTACAGCAGCACAGCCTCGGGCAGGCCACCAACCCACCCGTGCTTCAGCTTCCTTACCTATAAAATGGGAACAATATTAGTACCTGCCTCATACATGTTTGAGATAAAATGAGATTTCCACTGACCCCTGCACACAATAAGAGTAATGTCAACTCGTAAGTGCAATCCTGAGATGTTAAACATACTCAACAAACATCCCCAAGTCCTCAGGAAGCCAGTGGTGGCTTGCTCTTCCCAGCCTGCTCAGTTAAGCTGGGAGAGGGAAATGAAAGGACAAACGACTCCCACCTCAGAGTTGAGGTGGCACAGAGAGGAGGGGCCCCAGGAAGCCTGAGGGCCCTCCAGGTGACTGCTGCTCCTCACAAATCTGCATCTGTGTCTTGCTCAAGCACTGGTGTTGCCATACACATTCCATGTGCAGAAGCAGACCAGACACTCACAACCACAGGGCCACAGGCTGGCATCACATCCACAGCTGGGGCTCGGCTGTGCCCCCCGCAAGCTTGGCCTTCCCTGGGGCTTACAGCCTCAGCCGGACTTGAGTGGGCTTCAAGGAGCCGCAGCAGTCGCGGTTGTGCTCTTGGTTGAAGAGTCGGTCTCTGTGCAGATTGCCCGTGGCAGATTTGACCATGAGTGTCCCTCATTTCCTTCCCCTGGCAATCTGTGCACTGCTGGGCCAGTGGGATTGGCTGGGGACTTTGTGTGTCTCTGCTTGTCATCTGGAGTGGTGACAGATGTCTGTGACCCTCTGCTTCCTCCCCAGCCTGGACCACCATCGTGGGCCTTCTCTACCGCACCGTGCACGGCTACTTGAACAACATCCAGCCGGCCAACACTAGGTGAGTCTCTGGGCCACTCAGCACAGAGGGGGTGGGCTTGGTGCTGGTTTGCTGGGTGGCTGACCACTATGACACCTCCCCTCCCCACCAACACAGGCAAACACAACACTGTGTCAGAACTCCCCAATGCCTGGCACTTCACTTTGAGAGGAGGGAGGTGCCCCAGCCCTGATAGCACAGGGGTCAGGGGCACAGGCTGGATGACCCTATCTGCCCTGCCTGGAACTCACTGTGTGACCTTGGGCAAGTGACTGAATTACTCTGGGCCTCAGTTTCCACCTCTGCAGAGACGGGGGACAGCAGCACGTACCTACAGTAGTCAGAATGCACTGGACACCTCAGCTTAGGCTCAAGTCCGGGGACCCAGGTCTCGTAGGACTAAATTGCAGGAGTGTGTTGGCTTCAGGCATGGCTGGAGCCAGGAACCCAGAGGATGCTGTCTCAACCTGGGCTCTCTGTCTCCTGCCTCTGCTCTCCTCTGCACTGGCTCATTTTCCAGGCAGGCCCCTCCACAGAGGCATGGATGGCTCCAGTAGCCTGGGGCATGTGGGTTTGGGTCCTGTGATCTTAGAATGGGAGGAGCCTTGAACATGACTATGAACATCCAGGGAGGGCTGTGATGGGCCATTTGGGCCACGTGCCATCCTGTCCCCCACCCCCACCCTCCACCCCCTTCATGGTGACCAGAGGATCCTGCTCTCTCATTGGCTAGCGCTGTTCACATGACCCTCTGGGGCTTAGGAGTGTTGGCCCTACTCAGACCACAGGGAGGGGCTGGCTTCTCCACATGACGTTAGGGAAGAGACCCAGTCCTCCCTTTCATGGGGTCCCTGGGACAGAGCAGGGAGGCAGAGCTCAGGGCCTGCACAGGGGGAAGTACCAAGGTGTGCACTGAGGGGCCTGTTTCTGCAGCCAGTGTTTGGGGGTGAAGCCATATCTAATGGCAGCAGGCCTGTCCCCCCTGGGGGCTCTTGTCTACCTCTGTTCCCATGTCTGGCCCAGAGCAGGGGCTGGGAGAAGGTGCCTGAAGAGAGAGCCACACGGCACCCCCAGGCCTGGCCTTGGTGAGGTGCCTTCCCCTGTGGGACCATCGGTGGTGGGAGGAAGGGCATCCTTGAAAGGTCCCTGTCACCTGCCCATGTGGAGGAACATAGACACTGGCGCTGCAGCCGGGCACTTTGTTCATCTGTGGGGGAGAGCAGGTGGCGATTTAACTGCCTGCAGACAAACGAGAATGGTTTAATACCTTGTAATGTTACAAGTGGCTGAGCCCTCCAATCCTGCATCTCCGGGAAAGATCCTTTCCCACAGCCTCAGTGGGAGGGACAGCCCCTTGCGCAGAACCTCTGGGGAGTGTCAGGGTGGGGATGAAGCCAGCCGTGATCTTGCTGTAGACCTGGAGGAAATACCATTTTCTGCCCCAGTCGCTGGGAAAGCGTGCATGTGGAGAAGTTTCCTTATATCTTGAGAAAGGGGCCTGTCACTCTTTGAGTGAGATTTCCAGAATTCTTCAGGAGAATTGTAAAGAAAAAATGCAATCTCTTTTCCTCAAAAATATGCCTTCTCAACTATTTGGGGAAAATTTCTCCAAACACAAGATTATGAAGGGAAAATGGCCCCATCCTGGGCTCCCTTTGTTTATTTACACCTCTCCCTGCCAAAGGTTCAGACTGGAACTGATTTTTTACTGAAATGCATGCAGTGTGGACTTATGAGGCACAGCTGGGCTCTTCTGTGGGCCAAGGGTAAGAGCTTGCAGGGGGAGTGCTACTTGGACCACATCTGAAACTCCCCTCCTTCTCTGCATGGGTAAAAAAGAAAAAGGCAAATTGGCTGGTCAGGACATTTAATAGAGTCCTGACTCCAGCCAGGTGCTGGCAAACTTTTTTATCTCCACTGCTTGAGCCAGTGGGCCGGTCACACAGGTATGTTTTCGTCCCAGAGCAGCCGGATATGGATCCCTGCTCTCCACCAGCAGCCGGAATCCCAGTCTCCCCAGGAACTCTGCCTGTATTAACTTTCCAACCGGGTAGTCATGCGAGTCTCATGAAAGCACCATGAGATGTAGGTCTGTGCTCCCAGCGCAGATCTCCGGAGCGAGGTACTCGGCAGTCCCAGGCCTCCACTCCCTCCCTGCTCCGTTTCTCTTCCTCCTGCAGGTGAGCTGGGGTGGGGGAGGGGGGGGGTCCCGCGGAGCCACAGCTCTGGTGCGTTACCCCGTTCGCTGAGGTCTGCTCTTTTCTCCAGGTGTGTGCAGTCTGATGCATCCTCTTTCCTGTCGCTGTCTCAGGATTAGTTGTGCCAATTAAATTTTCTAATTGTATCCAGTTTTAGGAGGAAGCCTCTGTCTCTCCTCTCACGCCGCCATCTTTAATCCAAGTCCCGCTGGCAAACTTTTTTATAAAGAAACGAACAGTAAATATTTTCAGCTTGGAGGGCCCCAATGCCTTTGTCACAACCAGTCAGAGGATACATAAGGGATGGAGCGGCTGCGTGTCATAAAAAATGACACATTTTTTATGGAACTAGGTGGCATCCAGGCTTGTTTGCACACCCTTGCTAGACTGACATGCTCCTCTATCAGTGCCAGCAGCAGTGGGCAGGCAGGGGGCTGAGTTTGCCCTCACTGGGGGGTCCACAGCCCTGCGGGAAGCTTGGCCGATGAGGTACCATGCCTTCCGTGGGGCCAGGCGTCCACAGAGAGGACTCTTGGAAGCCTCAGGACCCGATCTGCCAGGACCCAGGTCACCGTGGGCAGCTCCCAGTTGTCGCTGCAAATCTTGGGCTCTGAGCTCCACCCAGGCAGACCATCCTCTGCAGCCCTGTCCCCACTGGCAGCAGCCCCCACTCCCGACCACATCACTCAGCAGCGAATCAGTGATGGGCTGTTTTCCTGAAGTCAAACATTATTATTTTCGGGAATCATTTTGGAAATATGAGATGAGAAATGAGAAGATGTTTTTTACACACATTGAATCTTCAACCTGGATGAAGTTCTAAAGTCAGCACTTAAAGCAAATATGTACAAATTAACCGTGAAAAAACCCATCCAAGCCGCTCAGGGAGGGCTGCCTCCACCTTCGTCGTGTCCTGTCCTCAGCGTCAGAGGGCAGAGAGGAGCAGAGGTGCTGCTGACAGAGTTGTTGTGAGCAGCACAGCCGTGGGCACTGGGGCCTGGCTTTCTTCTCCCAGCGGGGGGCCCTCAGAGGCTTCGTGGACCTGGGCAAATGCCTGGCTGTCTCCACTTGTCCCCATGGAATAGGGACAGTGGCAGTACGGCCATCTGAGGGTCACTGTCAACACCCAGTGGCTCACTTAATGAAATGGTTGCCCTTAGACATGACAGCAAGCGCTTGCTTCTACCAGGTCCCAGGATGATCGGGTGTCCTCACCACTCTGCCTATAAGATAATCATCAAATCCACACATGATTAGGGCTGATGTGTAGCTCTGATTAATTCAGGCCTGCACAGAAGGGTTCAGTCCTGAGCTGAGGCTGGGCGGGCAGCAGAGCACACGGGCCGGATGTAAGGAAGGGGGTGGTCCCCCAGACCGTGATCAGGAGAATGAGTGGATAACAAGGGCAGCCAGACGACAGGTGTCCACCCCACTGCTGTTGATCACACTTCATAGGTAGGGATATTGGAGCTCAGACAGGACGAGTGACACAGTCACACAGCCAAGCAGGCAGGATTCCTGAGGTCTAAACCCATCATTCCGGCCTGTGTTCACACCCTGTACCACTGCACTGCTGGATAGTGAACTGAGATCAAGACCCCGTCTCAGCTGAGTGACATCAAACCTTCAAGAAGCAGTGGGTTTTGAAGGGTAGAAATCAAAGTTCCATCCAGATAAGATTTGTCTCAAAAATGTCAGCAGTCCCCAAATTCCAGCTGTGTGCCCACCCCATTTCCTGCTTCGTAATGACTGTTCCTTTATTTCCAAGGATTGCTGAGGCGGCAAAGTATAAACACTGCTTGCTGTCTGTCACCAGCCACCTGATTTCCCTGGAGGTCTCCCCAGCACCCACCCTCTCCCAAAACCTGTCTGACTCTCCTCTTATCACCGTCCACCTCAGGCACAAACAGGTGAGTTAAGTGAATTTGCCTCATTTCTGCTCTCTGGTTTGGTGTTGCACTGAGGAATACTTGGTTGCCTGTATGAATGTATAAAGAATCTTAGATGGTGCTGGTACCGGCCGCAACTGGCCTTGTGCCCTCCTCGGGCTCCGTTCTTGGACTGGTTTTGAATGGCAGTGGCACGGCCCTGGGACAGCATGGGGCTGGTCCCACGGGACATGCTGCGCGGGAGAAGGCCTTGAGGACCATAGGCCACTTTCACAGATGTGTGTGGATGGATTTCTGATTTGTAGTAAGTGTCCTTATTGTACAAGGGGGCAAACGGGCCACTTCTCACATGTGGATAATGGCAGTTAACAAGATGAAGAACGTTCTGTCTGAGAGACACATTGAGAGCTTTGGGCAGGCCAGTTTGCACGCTCAGTTTTGAGTGATGAGCTGTCTGTCCAACTGTATCGTAACTATAGTTCTCTCCACGTTCACATATGTTCCACAGTGGGTAAGAATGATGTGACAGATGGTGTGGGGGACAGATGTGTCACTGTCCATTATGAAAGCGCAGCTTTTCTTGTGCCAGGAGAAGGTCCTGACATGTGGTGTTGATTCAGCAGCACTGGAGGGTCATGATTTCTTGAGGTGTTAACTAAAGAGCTCAAAACATTTTGGATCATTTGAGGTCATCCCAGACGTTTCCCTCCAGGACTTTGTATCCCATTCCACTCCACCTTGTCGCACCCCATTCCACTGGCATTATCTGAACACTCACTATGTGCCACCACAGCGCTCGGCCCCTTTTGTTGGCCACGTGTTAAGTCAAGCCAGGACGCCATCACTGTCCTGGTGCCCGCCTTGCTTCCCCAGCAGCCCCAGGCCTTTCTGGTTCCTGGGGAGCCCTGCCATGCCCAGGCCTTCCTGGTGTTGGATTGTCCCTCAGCAGCTGATGTGCCACCAGACAGCATGGTTTCTGCGCTTGCCGTCCTAGGGTGTCCTACCCACTCCCATTGCCCCCACCCTCTCAGGGCAGACTTCTGGCTCTGCCTCAGAGAAAACCTTATTCCAGAGCCTTTTTCCCCCTCCCCCTCCAGGCCCCAAGCCCTCCTCCACGATCCTACAGGCCCAGCCCTGACCTGAGAATGCTCACCTCGGACCTCACTCTCTTTTTTCATCACAAAGCATTTTAAATAATTTTAAATTGTGGTAAAGTTTACATAACATAAAAGTTACCATCATAACCACTTTACGTGCAAATTGCTGGGGCATTAGCACATTCACCCTGTAGTGCAGCCTCCCCACCTCCATCTCTAGGACTTGTTCCTCTTCCCAGCCTGAACTCAGTCCCCATGAAACACGAGCCCCTCCCTCCCCTGGCTCCTGGCCTCCACCATCCCCGTCTTTTTGTCTATGGATGTGACGACTCAAGGGACCTCATGTAAGTGGGATCACACAGGATTCGTCCTGTGTCTGGATGACCTTATGGAGCACAGTGTCCTCAGTGTATAGCACGTTTTGTCCAGCCGTCTGTCCACGATGGACACAGGGGGCACTCCCACATTCTGGCCATCGTGTGTGATGCCGCCAGGAGCATGTCCCCTCACACCCTGCTCTCTGCCCGCTGCCGGGCACCTGGAAGTGTGCTGCATCACAGGCCCTACAGGTCTGCCACTCAGCATGTGCCTCTGCTCTCCTCAAACTGCCTAAAGTTGGTTTTCAGACTGCAGAAATGTTCTCACACGTCTCGAAATGGCACCCGGTCCAGGGGCCTATCCATCTCTATTGTCACTGATGTGTGGATGGCATCGGACCCCACCTTCCGCACAAGCCTTTTCCCCAACCACATGGAAATGCTTTCCTTTGGAGTCCCGGCCCTCTTCATCTGGTGTGGGCCCCCCCTTTATCTGGGAGGGCTTCCTCCCACATCTCAGAGGCCCAGTCCCAGTTTTACCCTGTGCCCCCCAATCTTCCCAGAGCATCACCCAGCATGCTCTTAGCTGCATGGCTGAGGATGGTGTTTCACAATTATTTATACAAACAGACACTCTCTTAAGCTAGCTGTATATCCTGAGAAGCTGCCCTTGACCCATGGAATCATGGTTCCCTCCCCACAATGCCTGGCATTGAGCTCTGACTCTGAGCCACTGCTCAGTGAGCGTTTGCTGAGTGACCGCAGGGCTGAAAGTCAGCCCTGTGCTGTGAGAACCTTGTCGCAGGTGGTGCTGGTATGTGTGTGGCTTGTGTGACTCCTCATCCCATGGAGAGCGTGCTCACCCCTCTGCTGCCTCGAGAAGGCCCCCACCAGGACCAGTGAGCTCGGGGGCCTGACTGCCTGGAGGATTGGTCCCCCAGGAAATAGAGGCATTTTTGGCCCTTCTGCTGTTGTGGAGGTCACGATGCAGCTTTGAGGTGCCACAGTCTGTGGCCAGGAGCCCGTGAAAGCAGAGAGGCGTGTTGTGAGACTGGAGCCCATGTGTTTAAGGATGGACCTGTCCTAGCAATGGGAGCCAGGCCCACAGCAGGTGTCTGGGGTGTGCCGGACGGAGGCTGCAGAGTGGGGTTAGGGGTCAGGCCCGGGACTAAGGTAGGGAGGTGGGCTGCCTGGCAGGCAAAGGAGAAGAAGACGGGCCAAATACTGGGCTTCATGGTGCCCGAATGCCTGGTGAGCTCACGTGGCACATGTGCCTCATGCGCACACATGTGTACACACCAGATCCAACACACACGTGGACTTGTGCACACCCAGACCCAGCACACACATGGACACACACATACCCAGATCCAGCACACACAGACATACACACACAGAGACCCAGCATAGACACACACACACATACATACACACAGAATCAATACACACATGGGTACACACACCCAGACCCAGCACATACATCATGGATACACGCACACCCAGACCCAGCACACACACATGCACACACACAAACTCCACACCCACCATCCCTATTAGATCAGGTTAGTGTGAGCCTGGAATTGGAAGAGTGGGCAGTGCTCTATTTAGCAGGCTCCCTCCTTCCCTGGAACAGTACCATCCCTAGGGCACTGTCCCACAGGACCCCATGCCTCTGTCTGCTTGCTCCCACCCCCCTGTGGACCCCAACCTCCCGCCTTCCCTGCTTCACAATGCAGCTGCCCCACTTTCCCATCCCCAGAACCCTGCGCTCACCGGCTTCCAGAGAGGCAGCACAGTGGTAAACTGAGTCACTAGATTGTAGTCCTGACATTTCCATTTCCCCTGGGGAGCCTGTCCTGCAGTCTGAAGGATTCTGGTTACTTTCCTCCATGTCCTGCTGCAGACACCCTCCCCTGCCACGCTGCCTGATCCAAGCTACTTTTAGAGGATGGCTCATTCTAGAGTTTTTGCAAAGAGACTTTTCAGCCGATAAGACAAAGACAGAAAGGTTGCACTGGTCAGCTGGCCCCTCTGCCGGTATGTCTCTCCAGCCAACTTCTTTCATGATGTTCTGCCATCAATTTACTTCATGTCACAAGGATCCCTACATTAAAAAAAATACCTCAGTATTTTCTTAGGACACCAACTTGGGTCAGTCACTGGTCTCAAAGACCTCAAGCCCACTTCCTTGATATCCAGGGGCTTCACTTTCAAACCCAGTGCTCACTATGGGTCCATGTGGGCCTGTGAGCAGGGATGCGGGTCACAGACCTTGACAGCCAGTGTGCTGGGGCCCCTGCTCTGTGTCCTGGAACCACCATGAGTGCCCGGGCCTGGAGCTGAGTGTACAATTCAGAGCCCCCATTCCAACTCCACTGAGGAGTTCTGCTCCCCAAACCATGAAATAACCCAGATCTAGCCCCCTGTCCTTGGCCAGCTCCCCTTGTGCCAGTTTGTTGGGGACTCTGCCAACAGGCTCCCACTGCCCCTTCGAGGGTCACTCCAGAGGGCGGCCCCTCAGCTTAGACTGGGCAGCCGGGAGCCGGGCTGATGGAGGCTGTTTCAGTGATGGTCCAGGTGAGGGGGACCAAGACAAACACCACTCCTGAACTGGTAGCCAGGGTGCCCACTGAACCCACAGGCAGCTCCTGACCGTCAGCTCTCCCAAGAGCAAGCATCCAAAGTCTTTTGACTTAAAGATGGATCCAAAATCGTGGTGCTCACTTCAGTTAAAAGCTCTCACGGCATTTGATCAGAGAGTCTTGATTTGTAAACCAAGGCTGAACTGCCACCTTTCCCTGCCAGTGGGGATGAAAACTTGCCGCCTCAGAAGCAAGGCCTGACAGAAGTCAATTCCTTGGAAACCCAGAATTCTACACCAGAAATAAGTCTCTCAAAGAGCTAGGCGTGTCAGTGTTAATGGCTTGTTGTCTAATCTTAATGGGCTTGCAATCTGCCCGGCTATCGCCAAAGATAGGCTGCCAACCAGAATTGTCATGGAGTTTGGAGTGGGTGAGTCCAGCGACAGCCCTGGGCCTGGCAGCAGGACCCTGAGAACAGGCCGGCCTGGGAGGCCTGCTCAGTGCACGTTCTGACATCACCCCCTGAGGACCAAGCCATGCTCAGCGATAGGCTGTGGCCAGACAGGAATGTACTCTTTGCAGAGACGCTTGGCGGCTCTGACTTGCAGCCACCATGCACTTCTCAGCAGCACACTGGGGGCACCCCAGGGGTGCCTCTGTGTCATGTCCCCCTCTCAAGATGTAAAGCCCCAGGGGATAGCAGGAGAAGGGTCACATGCCCTGGGCCAGGTGATGTCCATTTTTAGGGACTGGTGGGAGGAACATACCCAGCACTAACGTGGAAACACTGACTGCGTACCCCTTGACAACTGCCCCATCTGAATGGTGAGAGGCAGTCCCCCCACCCCGCTGTGGGCCACATGCTGGGAGCTCCCATGAGTTCCAGAACCCGGGCTTTCACCTGATCTGAGGTGGGGCCCAGCAGGGAGCCTTGGCTCTCTGCCATCCACTGAAGCTGTGTGCCCTCAGGGTCTGGAGCCTTCTCAAAACCAGGCGTGGTGGTGAGGTCAGAGCCCAGCAGCCAG